AGGTTCTGTGCCAGTCCGCCGACGGTTGGAACCAACTGCACAATATAATACAAAAGATCGTGTTCTGATGACTTAACTAGGAATATTAAATGAATACATTTATCTGCGTGTAGATTTTGCGTTGTAAAGAGGAATATTACTGTGATTTTGCTTGAAAACATTTGCTTCTGTATGCCGAGATATGATTATGCTGATTAGTACACCCGTATCTTTGTCTAAATACTCCTAAATTTACCCTATATGGTATATCTACATTTATCAGCTGATTTCGTATATTTCCAAAACGGGTTATCTACAATGAGACTGTATTTTTTGTGATATATAGTATAGTATAATAAAACATATAAAAATAACCCTAGATAATTCACACAGCGCCATCCAGTGCCAAGAGCTTGTGTTATGGGCACTAGACAACTAGTACAAATAATTAAGTATTTTGTAAATATATACAAATATACATAGAAAACACCCTGACTGATGCATAACAATCGTTCTTATGAGTATAAATGTATGTACTACGTGAGGAATCAAACCCGCGACCATCGGAATTAAGCCGCTAGACTATCGAGGCCGTCAAGGCATCTACCTAAACCTATGAAACATGTTTATCTTTTAATTTTACTAAATTGTTCATACATATTTAATATCGTAAGAAAGGTGTACTTTCTTCTGTAATAAATATCTTATTTGAAAATTATTATATTATATATAATATCAAAGCAAAGTTTTGAACGAACCTTGAGAAAATCTAAGCATTTTGAACTGAAATAATAATTATTATTGTTTTAGAGAAATAAATCGCATTTAATTCGTAAAAGTTTGTCTAAAAAAAGTATACAAGCGAATTGTGAAACCTTTTTTCTTAAAGTTGCTTAAAAATGTAAAGCATAGATACAAAACATCGTTTTGTTGCTATTATTTTGCGTGTGAATAACTTCAAGTATATACTTTCCCGTTGTAGAACAACATTACAACGAGGTTTTGCCTCATAAACTCGACGCGACCATGGCATGGCAATTTATTTCGCGTTAGACCTCCGTGCTTTAGGCTTTTTCCACGGGTTCCCTCCAACTCCACTGCCCGGGGCGGAAACAACCCTTTTCACAGTATCGAACTTGGGAAATTACAGGGTTTACGACAGAAAAATAGATAGCCTCACTGTGTTTTCGAGTGAAGCTTGACGCTTATACATTTTGTTATTGAATACAAAATGAGTTCGCAGTTGCTTCACCCTCCTTACATTCTAATCATCTGTACACGTTTTGTATATGTATTAGGTTTAGTTTTTCAAGGTCTATCTATACTAGGATTGTTTTCGCGCGTTTTTTGGTCCTCTTATATAACAAAAGCCCTTAATATAACAAAAAAATGCACTGAGCTCCATACCAACTATATAATTTAGTACCTTACGTTATTGGGTTTTAAATTCTAATAATAGCATAAAAATTATCCAGTTAAATCCATATATATATTGTAATGGTAAAAATCAATTTTACAATTTTTTTATTAAACAAAGATTTTATTATTTATTTATTATAGTTCTGTGGAATTACAACTCTTATGACGTCATTACAATGTATTTTGTGACGTCATGCTCTACGATTGTGGTAGAATTCATGTACATAAGCGATTACTACTAGCTGCCCTCTGGTGGGTCGTCACTTTGTTTGTCATTTCAATTATACATAAAAATATGACACAGTTAAGTATAAACCTGTGTAAAACAATACAGAACCATTATTTCATATGTGACAGTATTACCTTGTATTTATTACTCATATAACGACTCACTAGTTGTGTGATTTAAATATGTTTGACAAAATATTGTTCGATGTTATCTGTTGGAAAATGACACCAACATCCGTAATAAAGATCTCTTATCGTATTTAGTCACAATAATAAACATTTTAAATTATATTCGAAAGGCATATGTATAAGTACCTATTTCGAATATTATATTGATTTGGTTCTTTAGTTCAGTTTGGTATAGGGTACTGTGTCTGCGTTATATACAACCTACTGGTTGATAATATTGCATATAATAACTATTTTTATTTTTGATTAACAAATTAAAAGCTTATATAAATGACTGGGACCATATTCACACAACGCCTTCTATTCCCAAACTAAGCAGAGCTTATACTACTATAGCAGATGGAAATAATTAAAATATAATTTGGAAATACATATAACTACTAGGACAACACCCAAACCAGTACAAAAATCATCTATGGCTTATAATTATCCTAAATTATTAAAATTACTATCCAAGGTCACTATTCTACACGAATGAAGTCGCGGACTATGTTAGTAATGAGCATAAATGTTTGTATCGTGAGTATCAAACTCGCGACCATTGGAAGTAAAGCGTAAATATAAAATATCTACTCTTCACAATATTCATATGTAAGGTCATCCAATGTCATTGAACATTATATTAACCCTGTTGGGGAAATCCAGTAATAAGATCGTTTGTTTCACTTTCGCACCATGACGTGGCGCCGCCATGTCGACGTTGCAAGCTGCCATGTTCAGTTATAGCAGACTGACTTTTGCGCTAGGTCGAACCAAAATCAAATAAAAAAATGACAAATGGCATTCTTGAAGAGTTGATTCGACACATAACGGGTATAAAATAAGTGTCACAGAAACTAGGTGAACTCTTTTTTGTTTGTAAATTGATTGGAATAAAGCAAACACAAAATTTTGTAGCTTACAACATTACAGTGAAAATCGCATCCAAATCTGTTAAATCGTATCTGAGATTAGCGCACACAAATGCACAGATATACTAACAATTGTTTTAGGTTTGATTGCGTTGACAAAGTTCCTACAATTTTTCTCATATATCGTTCATGTACAAACAGTGATCAGTTGCACTTTTATTATATCCTATACCTCCAATATCTATATTTATATATATTTAATAATAAATAAAAAAAAATATAATTGACGTGTCTGTTTGTAATTTCAAATTAACAGCTTTTCACTAATTGAATACGGTACATACATAAAAAAACTAATTATAAAAAAAAATTATCTGTCTATTTATTTATTTTTTCTAATCTCTGAAACGTAGATCGTAGATCGATTTTGACGCGACTTTCACTCGTAGATAACTAATGTTATAAGGAGTAACTTAAGACTCTACTTTTTTTTTAGAAATTTTCTTTCTTTTAATTCCACGTCTTTAGTCGCACGACAGATCTAGTAAATAATATTTTTTGTGATATTGATTAATGTAAGTAAAATAATAAATATATGTGAATATTGGAATATATTTGGTATAACGGTAACCTATTCCCGACTCAGAGAAACGGACTTTGATGGATTGATTCCACCGGCAGAAAAAAACATGTTAACTTATTTATTACTGATGTGAAATGTATCCTCGGAAACAAATTGGTAGCGGCAGGATGTATATAATGAGATATCTCCTAAACGACAATAGGAATTTCCCATTTAGAATTCCGAATATTTTGTATAAACGCCATAATTGGAACCATTTTGAATCGAGTTTTTATAAGACTTATTTGTATAGGTAAACTAGCTTTTGCCCGCGGCTTCGCTCGCGTTAATTTATCCCCTTAGGGGTGGAATTTATCCAATCAAAATACTGTCTTAGGAGATGCCTACGTCATAGTAGCTTTATGCATGCAAAGTCTCAGCCCGATCGGTTTAAAATTGACAAACTTTCAACCTCTATTCTATCCCCTTGAGGGAAAAATTATTCAAAATAATTTCGTAGCGAATGCCTACGTCATAACATCTACTTGTATGCCAAATTTCAGCCCAATCCGTCCAGTGGTTTGGACTGTGCGTTGATAGATCACTATGTCAGTCAGTCACCTTTGAGTATGTAACAAAGTTTTCGTCTTTGTTTCTCCACGTTTCTATATATAGTAATTTGCACTTTTTAGAGAAGGCGTAAATGATTTTGATAAATCTAGCGTGTCAATTCGATTTATTTCAGAAGGTTTATATGTACAATATATAACTATACGACTCCGTCATATATATAAGTGTGCAGGCGAGTTGGTTCGCGAGTTTATTACAACTTAAACATTGTAAAGATCGCGTTTCATATATGAAAAATGTTCACCGGAAAATTATGTTAGTTTTTCAGTTCTCGTAGCAAGCGTCTACACTTTTCTAAAGTAAATATCCGCCAACATTTTTACCTGCCGGTGTGGTCTTGTTCACGTAAAATACTTTACTTTATTTATAGATATCTCGTCACTCGAACATCGATCCCCGATTTCTGGGCACCGACCCGCACCACTTGATGCCTAAAGGACTTTTGATTTGGGTTTTAAATGGACTCCTCCGTCGATGGACGTTTGTCTGCCCCGTTAAATTGATGGACCCCGTCAACGACTGTAGCTTTTAAGACAATGGGATTGAACAGCAAAATGTAGGTTAAAATGGAGTGTTGTGCTTGTAATGAACGATTTTATATCTTATTTCAAAATGTGTTCTTTTACTAATATTAAATAAAAGTAAGTTTTGTTTGCTATATACTTGGCAATACCTTATCTGTATTGACTTAAGAGTGTAATCGCTATTAAAATAAGTACTAACAATTTTCCTTTACAACATACATATGTGACATGTCAGCTTTTATTAGATTTATGGAAAATTGAGACCCAGGGTATATAACATGTCAGTCGATGTCCTCCGACTAAGATTTCTTTTACAACATTAAATAAAACACATCTATCTATGTAGATATATGTATAAGACATTTTACAAAATAAAAGGAAATTTGTACAGTCAACTATAAATAACTGTCCATGTGTTTGTAAAGTCCTATAAAATATTTCAAGTATAATAACCTGAAATAAATAAGACATTAGCAGTAAGTGTGACAGTTTCATTGACGTTGTTTCCAATGACTACACAGTTCAAATATCCCTTTAGTTTGTAGCATGAACCAAACGTACTGTTAGAATGATGGTGCTGTAGGATTATTATACATGAGTGTTAGGGTGTCCCTTATATGGGTGAAAAATTTTTTTTTTCAGATATCGAAATGCATACCCCTTAATTCTTTTTAAATTACCTAAACTTAATCAAATACAAAATTTTATCTTTATATGTCAACATTAACCCGTGCCGACAGAGCCTTGAATATTTTAAAAATCGTTGTCTTTAACGCTTATCGTTGTGTATGTGTAATAAAATGAAATAAAATGTTTAATAATAATAATCAAAGAAAAAGTTAGAATATAGTATTTATTAATCAAATGAACATCACAAATATTTTCTTTTAAGGATCTCTTTTTTACAGTCTGGATACAGGTTTCTATGCTCTTGTACACAGAAAACTTTTGTACGCAGCAAAAACTGTTTTTGATATTCTTTTGCAGTGACTAAGCCATGGAAATCTGACATAAGTTTTACAGCTCTTTTAGCTGTATCATTCACGGCCCTTAAAGAAAGAACTCTTGTTTTAGCCTGCAAATAGGTTACATCTTCGTCCCATGCAGAAACGGTTTTCTTTAAGAAGTCTGTATCCATATTTAAATGAGCAAATAAATTTGTGCTCTTGACAGACACAAAATCATTTCATGATTTTCCTGCAACAAAATATAAGATGTATTATTATCAGTTTATTAAGGTGGATATAAGATATAAAACTATTTTATTTTTAAATTAAACTTAATACGGTTTTTTTATTACATTTATCAGTCAGGTCAGGTCTAGACCAACCAAATATAAAAATATGATAAACGCGACAAAACCGAATTAAATTACAATGTGTAACAATAAAAAAAACATACTAAAATAAATGTTATATATTTCTACTTACCATACAAATAATCAGACATATCTTCTTTCGATGGAATGTATCTTTTTACAGAATCATATAAACTATCTCTTTGTAAGTTCGCTACAATATTTGTCTTAGTTTGTTCATCTACTTCATCATCAAAGAGTGATAAAACAGCTATTTCTTCTGACAAGTACCAAAGATGTTGACTAAACTTGCTCAGGGCAGCTTTGGAGATCTCTTTATTAACAGTTTCATATTCCTTAAGACTTTTTAAAAAGCGCAAAGCTTGATTTGGGGCCTTGACTGTCAGACTACATCCAATCCATGGTTTTACATATATAACTGCAATGAATAAACAAATATCTTGAAGGGCTCTTTTATCCTTGGCGCTAATTTTGAATTGAGATTGCAACAAACATATTTTCAAGGAGTAAATGGTTCTAGCCATCCACCTAGCTTGATGCATTGCTCCAGAAAGTCTTATTTTAATATTTTTCTTTGACGATTTATTTATCGGGAACTCATCACAGCTGAGATCTAGGGCTTCTACTACAGCCTGAAGTATATAGACAGAGTCCCTTATGCTTAATTGACATCTATCTAAAGTGGCAACTACCTTAGGAGTGACGAAATCTTTCCTTCCTCTTTTTGAAGTAGTTACAGAACTTACCATTTGAGATGTTGATGGCAAGGGTTCGTTCAGGCTTTCGTCAGAGCTGGTATTGGGATTGGGATTTTCTTGCGTTGCTATAAAATCTTGTGTAGTTAAAGATGACGATAAACTTTTGGAACATCTTGTCTTTTTTTCTCTTCTTTTAATTTTCTGTCTTGTTCTTTTCTTTCTCGGCTAACTTTTTATCTACTCCCGCTAAACATCCTAGACGCCCTGGTTCTCTTTGTTTTTGTAAAAATATTTTATCTTCTTCTATTTTTATCCAGTCCAAAGTATTTGCGTGTGCTATATCGAATAAATTATCTAAATTATTTTGAAAGTCCTCCTCACGGCGCTTGTAAGCAGCTGGCGTTTTTTTTTTTGAATTTTTTTGTAACTCTCCAAGCACGATGAACATCGACGAGTTTTTTTACACAGTTAGGCACAGGTCTGGTAGGGATTCTAGCTTTTTCCCAGAATATAATACACTCTCGAACGGCAAGATTTGCGCTTACATTAATAGTCAATTTAACTTAGCGAATGTTAAAAAAGAGGACTGCAAGAACGTGACGACGGTAGACGGTAACTTTGCTCCAGTAATTTGATGGTTCACGTCACCAACTAAGAAAATACTTTTTTTATTGCTTCTTAATTCCACTGCCATTTTTTTAAACATAAAAACAATATGTTAATGACGAGAGTTACTGTGAACAAATGGCAAATACGATGGGTGCGCGCCACTAGTTCGGCGTTATTTGTATGAACATGTTTCGATGCAAGTCGGCACGGGTTATCGTTCTCCAAATTATATAAAAACGTATTTTCGAGTGTTTTAGGAACATATGAACAAAACTAAGACCTATGCATTAAAAAATAAAAACTTTGAAAAATAAGGGACACCCTAATGAGTGTACACGAAATCTAAATCTTCTCAATCCTAAAACACAATTAGTACCGTGACTAGACACAATCCTATTTATATTTGAGTCAATTTAACAGGCTGTTGTTGTATAACTTATTAATGCCGGCCTAAGGCGAGTGGAGGCAGATTTTGCAAATTTGTGCCTCTTGAATAATAAGAAGCTCCGACTGTCAATGACTGTATTATGGGTTTACGGACTATATTATGGAGCGCTTTGTTTATATTCTGGTACTTTGCAGGATAAGGTGCCGCTTCTCATTTGTTGTATTACATTATTTATCTGTTGCTTCTCATTTCATATTTTGTGTATTTTAATGCAAATTAAATTTTGTAGTGAAATCTTGAAACTTCTCCACTTTCGTTATAAATGCTTGAGATATAGGCAACATTAATAATTTTAATGAATGCAACAAAAACAACCCAGAGGTTTTTATGTAATATATAATACAATAATTTATATAATACAATGTTTTATACAATAAGAAATAGCAAATATACAAAGACAACTATACAAAGATCACAATAGATTACACAGATAATAAAGAATATCATCAAGAGATTAAGTGTTTACAATACAAAGCAGTGGGTTAACCCCAGTTCCTATCATTCCGACATCTGAATAGCTTGTCAATTTTCCTTTAAATTTGATGTCAAGGGAGTTGTACCGTGGTGCACAATCTCATCTAATTCAGCAAGAGTGCATACATACATACCGACGTTTACTTATTACACATCCCAAATACACAGTATTTTTTGGATTATCAAGAGCTTGACAAGAATTGTGTAACATTTAATTCAGAAGGGAAAGGGGATTGTAAGTAATTTGGACTGACGTCCACATTGCTAGCAATGTACTATATAAACCTCCACGCGGTCCCTCTGAACACCATCGTGATACATTTCTGGTGAATTTATCAAGATAAGCTAACTGACCTGACCTCATGTTCTTCTTATCGTCCTCCACCGATTCCTCGTCAGCGTAAACCACAGGCGGACGCACTGTTCCATTAATACTCATTAGAAAACATTGAACTCAGACACAAAATGATATTTTACATGTAAATTATGAGCATTTTAGTCATTTGAATAAATCTATGCCCTAATATGTGCTTCTATTGGAGAAGATAAATTAGATCTACAGTAGATGCTAATCTACAGGAGAGACTTAAGTCAGCAGGAAACAATCAACGAATAAAGTAATGATTATGATGAATTATTATGTATAGACTCACGATCTTTTGGCGCCGCTCCGCTCCATCCCACCAAAAGACCAGCCAACAACACAACCACTAATCTGGACGCCATTTCTGCACTACATTTATTTACTTAAACAGCTTTATATATAGGTGACCGTGAACACCCACGATCCATCATTAACTCTATACGACACGGCCTTGGCAATTGAACAATATACGTGCCCGTATTGTCATTTGAAGCATTGTCCTAGAGTACGCTTTGACCCACTGGTACTGTAGGTGTCACGCTGTAGGATCTTTGTAATTTAGCTCCTGACCCACACAAACATGCTTATTTAGTGTGACTAGCTGATTATATCCGTGATAAGTAATGTGATGATACAATTGAAAGGCTAACTGGAGAACTACTTGGGAAAAGATTTTTAGTAATGTGGAGTACTATAATAACCCTATATATATATATATGTCATGTCAGATTTACCTTCATTCGTTTCCCCCTGGAAACAATAGTGAGAATACCTAGTCAATTTGCCACAATGATCTAACTGACCTGATCTCGTGTTCATCTTATTATCCTCTACTGGTGCCAGTATTCTATTCCATTATCAGCCTATAAAAAAAACCATAGAACTACTATAATATTACACTAATTGTAAGTTCTTCCATGGGAGTATTAAAAAGAGTTCGAACTGCAGTTTCTGAGATTTGAGCTTTCAACCAAACAAACAAATGTTCTCAGATTTATAATATTAGGTGTACATATTGGACATGATACATGCTACCTACTTTAATGTGATCATGAATAGCCACCGTTATAGTGAAAATACCTAAACCGTTTAGACGAGAACCCCCAAACTAATACGACACCCAAGCCATAGGGCAAGATCACATTATAAATTTTGTTCGCCGTAGATATTAGTTACTCAGAATACGTTTGGCAGCCACTCTCAGCTCAATGATCAGGAAATTTGTCAAGTTTAACTCAGACAAATGTCGGTCCAGTAAATCGTAATAAATGACAGGTTCCAAAAAGTAAAGCCTGTGTACATTGAAGAGGAACGCCAAATATCTTTTCTTATATTATATATTAGTAACAACACAAAATTACAGTATTTGCCTCGTCATAACGATTTTATTGCATGTGTATTAAGAATTAAAGATATTTATATAACTAAGTTTATACTGATATAAAAAATATATAAACCGTATAATATAAATAATTTACTATGTCATTGTTTATCGACATCTATTTCTACTGTTATTCTTCAGTCTTTTTCAGGTTGAGTATGGTGCGGTGCATTCACCAGAAAGGGCATTTCTCAGTGTGCGTTTCCGTCAAACAAGTATATAAAAAGCTTTTGTTATTTATTATCTGTTGCTGTACACCCAACTCAACAAATTTGTCCGATCGTGCGGGAACTGTAAAAAAGAAAAATAGTTGTTAATACTCATTACTTAGTATAAAAAATACTGTACATACAGCTATGATGAGTGGTGCTCCGTATCACTTTAATAATCTGTGGCGACGCGACGTACGCTTCGTGCGCGGGAAGATAAAAAATAGACTTGATGCACTACTTTTTCTGCAAATGTTGTTTTGCATTGTATATTATTTTACAACTTAATTTCGTAATATTTGGTTGTTATATAATGAAATTGAATAAACTTAGCGTATATGTCATACTACTATAACGTATGTTCTTGCTCTCTATCTAATATCACGAGTACAATTCAACTTGTATTTAATCTATGCCCTTCTTAGTCTAATATACTTGATGTAAGTATCTGTACCAAATTTTGAAACATAATGACATGAATTTAGATTTTTTTTCTATTGTAGGTACACAGTAATAAAAAATAATGGATAATCATTAAAGTAATACAAAATTACTGCAAGTTCGTGTTTGTGTTGTGCATGTTTGAACCGGCCTTAGTCCACGCGAATCGATACAAATGCGTTGGCAACCATCTTTTGTTGTTAGGGGATGTAGCCCCCTTGCAAACCACCCCAACTGCACAGATACGTGTTGCTTGCTGCGCTGCGAAGCGTTTTTACTCAATTTTTAACCTTAAGATCAATGTTTAATGATATAATGAATAATTTGGCGGTTAAAAGGTCCAGCTCGATAGGAGATGCGTCACGAGTTTTTGCGTACTTTGTGGGTTTTCCATACTTACTTGTGAAGGATATGTTGGATTGTTCTGTTAAGTTTGATTGTAATTTCTTTTGTTACGCAATATATTCGCTATATCTGTAGTCTATAGTCGTCAAAAGAGTAATCTCTCGTATTCACATACTAATTTCCTCACGTCTCCTGCATTTTTTTATCCAATAGTTTCATTTCTCTCTTTTATGTTACATTGTGACTATATATATATTTGACATAATCTTTTTATTTAATTTACTTACTAAGTATCATGATATAAGTGGATGAAGTAAGGTTTATATTTTTTATTAAAGCTTTAATACACAAATACAGATGCATATGGCGTACTTAACACTTTGAGGTATTTTTTCTCAGTTAACCATTGGGCAAAAAAGATTTATGTGGGCAGTGCATTAAAAAAAATTAAAAATATGTCATTCATTCATTTATAATTTAAGTGCGACGCTCTCGTCGGTCCACTTTCTACAACTTCCATCAGACTCTTTAAACCTTGATACGACACGACTCCTATAAAAAAATAAGTATATAATTTAGAATTAACAATGTAAAAACAAACTATGAGTCTGGTTTAATCGAATCCATAATTATATATAATATTATTATATGTAATATTAAATATACAATTAGGTATGTAGGTAAGAAGCGCACTTATTGGCACTCTATGGTGACTTGAATCGGAATTTGACATAAAATAGATAGACACACATCCACACTACAGATGCATGCACTGGCTGCATATTTTATTACTGTTTGCCTCTCAATCATGAAACAGAGCATGTTGGAATAAAAGGGAACATGAGAACATGACGGCACGTTGGCGATATGTGGTTCAGTAATTAATATAGGTACTCAGAATGTACCCTATATCATGTCGAGTCAGTTTTTAAATACACACAACACAGAGTAATCAATAAATAAAGTCTGTAATATAATGTTCATAAGAAACAATAAATAATATAGTTTCAATTCAAAGTTTTGAGTTTTTTAATTATCTGATATAAATTATAATGAATTTAATATGTATGTACGTTATTAAAAATATCTAACAAATTCC